CGCAATTACAAAGGTCAAACGGCTGAAGCGTTACACACAGCCGCAAGTCGGGATCGTAACATCAAATCAGCTTGCAGCGCAACTGTTAGCGGTAGAGGATACAGTTCAGACTTCTGTCACTACATTATTTCACCACGCTTTGGCTTCGTTGTGCGACCGTACTAATTCTCTTGCGTTCTTCATTCATCACTCAAGTCAGACCCAACTTATACCGTGCGCAAGTTGCTTATCGACCCAATGTGGCCGCTTCTTATTTAGGCAACGGCTTGGTACAAATTCACAATCGCGTACGCATTCCCAACCCAAATTATCGTATCTTATGATTCAACTCCACTTGTTACAACAGACCTCAATCCAGTTGACTTTACCTAGCGGATCTTCCTGGTTCACATACGTCGACCCTCACAACTGGATACTCACTTCTGACGTGAAATCAGTGCCTTGCGCTACTCTTCGCCCATTCTATTTTTCACTCCCTGACGGGGTTCTCCAGTATGATGCAATATCACATACCATCTCCAATGTTTCTAACTTGTCTATTCGTAATATCTTCTTCACCTCTACTCCGCAAGACATTGATTTCTTTCCTTCACTCACAATCTTTCACAATTTGATCCTTACTAAAATTAGTGAACTCGTACAAGATGCAAGAACTTTGGACAGCTCACAACTTTCACAAAATCCTTGGTGCAAGTCACAATGATTACGCTCCTCATGTTACTTCGGACGACTCGTACGGCAGCAGCTCTTCTTTTCTAAGCACCTTGATTGGGTTTTCTCCGTATAACATATGGATTACTTTCTGTTGCGCTGCCGTCACAATTACAATCCTCAAAAAGCTACTCCTTTTGTACCTCAATGTTTCATCTAGAGGCATGTTGTCACGCATGCTTGCTACTAATTTGCAAATGCCCGGTTGCCCGTCTCTTCTCTACGTCTCTCGAATGCCTAACACCTCTATTCCTATTGTTCCGTTCCCAAATATCACGAAAGAACAGCCCCTCCAGCTCACGCGCGTCGCGCTAGATTCCACGAGTGCATGGCCGCCCAAATTGACCATTGCTCTGGTCCACGCCTTGTCGCTATACGATAGTAGTTTTTGTCGCGCAAATTCCGGTCAGAGCGAATGGGATAGCTTTGCTAGGACTAATAGATACCGGAACCGCTATATCAGTCGCAAGTCGCCAACTGGTTACGTTAGTAGGCATCTTTTATTTCGAGAGCAGCCCAATATACATTGCAGTAGGAATGGCGAGCGTACCATACCCCTCTTGGGGTGTGCGCGACTGCAGCTTCAGGTTGGCTCACATATGGTTACTGCCACTGTACAGTTTACGGACGAACCATCCATCTCACACCATGCAGCGTCTTTTAATTTGATTTTAGGTAACAATGTGTTGTCGCAACTTCTTCCAAGGTCCATCGATTACAAGAACCGCACCTTTTCGGTGAACGGCGAACAAATTCGAATTTGGGGCACGTTGACGAGAGGGTTACACGAAGATGAAGGTGACACTATAGTGCGTGTTTCAAAACCTACATCTTTACAGCCAGGAACTGAAACTTATGTTCCGTGCTACATTTCCGCAACTCCCACGACGCCAGTTATGTTGATCACTCAATCCGACGACCTTCTTCAGCGCTCACTACTGGTATCAAACCCCACCAGTAGGGCCACAGGTATTATATGAAGACCAAAGAATATCCACAGCGGTTCTGTAGTGGAAGAAGACGGGTTCTTTCAGATGCAGGTGTTTTCATGATAAGCCTGCGGGCTTTACAACCTCCCACTGCGGCTGATGGCCGTCCCTCACAAGAAATCAAAACAGAATTCGTAGTTGACCCTAGCAAGGAGGTCTCCGAGGAGGAGAGAGCAGCTTCACGCATTTTTCCATGAATTCCGCGATAGAATCTCCCAAAGTTCCTATGTCTTCCGTATAATACTCGTTTCGAACCACGAAGATCTTCAAACTGACCTGCGGGTCATCCCATCAGTTTTACATACAGCTATACATCATGACATTCCTACTACGTCTTACTCACTAGTTGTCCGCAATACTATCCATTCTCATTACGACATTTCTCTTCCAGGGTGCTCACGCGCCTCGTATCCCGTCAATTCCTTCGATATCGCGATGAATCGTCGTGTGCCTCCGTTTCGCGATCCACTCTACGCTTTGTTTTTTTCAGATAAGGCTGGCAAAAAACCCCTTGCTCCTCCTTATGCCTCTACAGTTGCAGCTACTACCTTCTAGCCCCAAGGGCACGCAATTTTTCTACTGCAACCTTGCTGGGCATTCATCGGTACCATCATCACCAGGTTAGTGTCTCCTGCCTCAAGCCGTGAATCGGCACTCTTTAAGAAATACCACAGCTTTTGTTTTTTTGGGAAGCTCGTATTGTCCGCCCTCATACTGGATGGTAATCGTTTCTTATTCAGTGAGGTCAAATAATTAACGGAATCACTGTTATCCGAACCTGTTGATTTCGATTTGGAAAAAAATCACACAAAACCGCGTCAATCACACATAAAAAACTTGTTGGAAATGGAAGCGACGAACATCACTACAGAAGTACCCAGTCGTCTCCAAGTAGGCATTTATTTATTCGTCTTTTTTTTATCTATTTTCGTTGTTGGTTTTCTCGAATTTCCTTTTTCTTTTTTTGTTGTGGTTTATTTTGGGATCATTGTAGTCCTGTGCCGCCTTCGGCGACTGTCGTAGCTGTAAGGTTCGCCAGCACTTGTGTCCCAACCGAACATACCCCAGCAGCCTTTAGAGCACCATCTAGGACAACCGTCATATCCCGATTCTGACTACCTGCGCTACCAATTCGCCAAGTGGCTCTTCCCTTTTGTCGACACTTCCCACATAGCACAGTAATTATCGAGTGTGCAGAATGGTACGTTACACCTTATCAACAAACTTTCCGATCCCTTTGTGAGCAGCTTCTTGTTCACATCTCTAGGTTTAAAAATTCTGATAATCGGAAAATTTGAGGAAGATTGTGGAGACGATTTTTCACTCACAGTATAATAAAAAAAACTGTGTAAACATCAGTTTTGCTGCATTCAAAAAACACCTAAACCACTCCTGAATGGAGTCTGCATTTGATATCAAAGACCAGTTGATGCAGCAAAACCACCCTAGTTGTCTATCAGATACTTAACCGAACAAGTATTTGTCTCAAGCCGCAAACAGAGTTTTGTAAGAAAAGATAAGAGAATTCATTTTGAACAAAATTCTCACCTTTGATGCTCCAGCCCCAAAGGCATCCTAACGCATTTACTTTTCATCCTACCCTGTGGGCTATCAAAAAGTATATACTAAGAGTCTAACTATTATACATTCCATTTATACCTCGGCTCCTTTTACAGCAGCTAGCTGCAACATCATGCATTTCACCCTTCCTCTTATCTAACCCTTGCAATACCTATGACGCGTCTTGTCTATCATACATGGTCTACTGCACTTCGTAAAGGGTACGGGTCAAGAGTCACGATTTTTTGTGAAGCGACGCTGCAACGCGACGCCAAGCAGTGCAGTACTCAGCTTCCGTCGGTAGTCCTGTCGTAATGCTACTTATGGCACCTCATGTATTTGCCGCCACCCCACCTCCTTCCTATAGCAAGTACCATCAGTGCTCTAATTGTCAAGGAGCCACAACGATCCGCAAGAGCCACCATACATTCCAAAGCCCAAGGCAAATATCCCTCCAATCCATACTGCGCATACTGTTGATGTCCTCATTCGATACATCTAAAGAAACTACTACCAATGTTTAATTCCGAGGACGGACTTGTTGGTGAATAGGGGAGGTGTAAGCGTAGGTGCATAGGAACTCACGAGAAAGAGCTATGTTATGAGAACAAGATATAAGACACAGATAAAGGAATAATATGTTATGAGAATAAGATCAGCTGTTACAGATATGAGGACGACACACATTCCGCAGTATGGTATATAAGCCGTCATCGAGAGCACAAGCCGGAATTCCAGTACCATCGAGCTAGCAACTAGGACGCCGACTGGCTGCCCGAGCTACCCCTCCGCTATCACTGGCTGATGCCTACCCGACCAGTAATTCAGAACTCCTTATTGATGTATTTGATCGCCTCAGTATATTGCTTGCTTCTTATTTTGTGTCATAATAGATAAACTATTAGTATAGCTAGTGTTCGGGTGTCTACCAGCCTAAGCCGCTTCTACGGCGCTACGTTGAGTAGTTGTTAATTTTTGCCGATCCACTGCCTTTATGCTTTGAATTGCGATGCCCTCATGAAAACAATTTTTGTTTCACGTTTATCTGGAAGATAGTTTGATAATGCATATCACGACCAGAGAAAGTGGCTTGACAAGCTTGATACGGAGATTAGAGTTGCAGTAGTAGAGTTGCAAGACGCAACATTGAGTTATTTGGCAAGCGCATCCTCAAATTCAGCGTAAGGTGCTCTACGGAGGATTCCTGCTCCAATCCAAAAGTAATTGTTCCTGCGGGCGAATCTACGGTCACTTGCGGTGGAGATGGCCGCACTTGTTAGATCTTGTCGAACATCGTCAGCCTGCACTGTCTTCTCACTCAATATGTTCAACATGTTAAACTGGTGTGTATCTAACTTACTCAGGAGTGAGTCATATTATAACTACTGGTAATATAGATATTTTTTCTCAAAGGTGTAGACTGCAGGCTATCCTTTGCTTATAATTTAGCAAATCTAGCTCATCCAACCAAATGTAATCGCAATGTAGTGGTCCTTTTGTTTCGGTGATAAACGTATACATGGGAAATTTACAATCTAACAACTTGTGCATCAACATATATCAAGGAAACTATGTAAGCCGTTCAACGAAAAAAAACAACAACAAAGCTTTGTAATAGAACAGCCACGAGTTATGAGATTAGGTTTGGTTTAACTTCCAGTGAAATCGCATAGCCAGACGATGCAATTTCAAATGTATCGTCTAGCTATGCGATTTCACTAGAAGTTCACATTCACTCTCTTATGTAAGTTGGTCTACACATTCAAGGGTACTCAGTTTATATTCCTCTGCCGCCGAAACTTGATCCCATTGTTTCAAAAGGCCAACTTCTGCTTCACAGGGAGTTAACAACTGAACTTCTCCGTCCAGCACAATAACACCTTCAAATATCCACGCAACTTCGATAGTTTTTTGTTCTACTCGCGTCATGACCCAAGGATTTGTATCAGTCTTTCATTTCTAATTTTCCTTACCTGATAGGAGATATTCCTTCCCGGGGTCAAGTTCGAGTCCACAGTCCTCAGATGGTGAAAGAGAGTATAATGTGTTTGCCAATTCAGACAGTGCCTTAGGCATCTAAACACGACAAGGCTTTCTTACTAATAAAATCAGATTTGAGGCATTGGGGTAATGTTTCGCTCACCAAAAAAATTTTTAGGGGTTCTATGAGATCAAAGGGTCAAGAAACTTTTACGGAGATAGACGACTTTCAAGAAACACTTGCTAATTTTTGTACAAAAGTTGGCCGATGTTTGGAAGATTTATGGATTATTCAACCTAATTTCACAACAAAACGACACTGACCTTGTAGATAGTTATATATTCTATGGCATACTTAAAACCCGGATGTCCATAAACATAAAAATCCGATTTGTCTAGAACTTTCGCATGCGTCACTGAAACAAAAGACTGCTTTGCTAAAATACAAACTTCAGAAGCCGAATTTGAGAATGCATAGGCGTACCATAATCTCTTTTGCAAAATTCTTCTTCAAATGTGTAGTACGATGACGGACCACACTCACAGGCATAAGTAATTGTGATAGAAACAAGTAAATAAGCAAGCCTCCTCATCTTTACCGCAGCGAATCAGTAGCTTAAATACTCTATTTTCCTGCAAAAATACCATGATCGTGTTTGAGGAAAAGTTATGGTTGAATTGCCTAGTTTATATGCTTGTGCTATAAATATGGACCGTCTGCACGCGGCGTGGATTTGCGGACTCGGGAACTCCTCGTTTCGTGCATCTCGTCACTTTTTTCTCGGCGCTCTCTTCTAGTCATGAACTGTTTTTTATTGACGCATCTGCGCTATTTTTCGCGGAACGCGGACGGTCTATGTCAAAGTGACATACACTATATCTCCCCCAAAGATAAAAAAATGTAGAGACATATCAAGCAGCTAAATCATAGCAAAACATTTCCCTTCTGCAGGCTACGATAAATTTGAGATTCGCAGTTATTTTCACATTTTGAAGAGTTTTTAAGTCCTCTAAGTCCTCGAGTTCCTAACAAAGGCGAGTCTCATAGCATAATGTAGCAAATAGGATTTGTTAACAATCTCGAACATTCGCCTCGAGTGTACCCATATGTGAACACAATTCAGCATTTGAAATAGCCGAGAACGAGCGGAGCTATAACACATCATGAAAATTCAAATTTGGACAATTCACAAAATCAAAATAGCACCAGTGCAACTTCAGTAAATCACAAAGTTGAAAAATGCCTTAGCAAGAAGGGGGGGGGGAACAAGTGAATTTAAGACATCCGGTACCCGAAAAGGAAAAGGAACTGTTGATTTATTTGCTGTTTGTTTCCAACTCGAAGATATCGCATATAGTCGAATGGATTTCCTTGTAACTACTTGATTAGCCTATTATTGTCAAGCTTCATTTTTGAAGGGAAATGAGACTTAATGATGCTTTAAAACCCTTCAAGGTTCCTACCGTAATCCTACAGCAACGAAGAAGGACCGGAGGTTCGCTCCATACTGTAAACCTAAGTTGAAGCCAGCTTTACAGAATGGTGCCTAAAGGTCGGCGAGAGACAACAAAGCAAAAGTATCTTTAAAGCAAACCTTACAGGATGCGAAAAAATTTTCTCTCCTTTCCACAGCTTGCCATATTTTTTTAACAGAATTTCAACTGATGCTACCAATTTCCATACTTGGACAGCCAAATCTTTGTAGAACATCAAAGGGAGAATAGCTCGGGTGCTGTTTGATGCAGCTTTTTCTCCTCTTTCTAATAAGTGTTTTTTTGTTTCTGACTCGTTCAGTCTTCCGGGATAAAATCATCGTTACTCATTTTTTGAACGCGCTCCAAGCGTACTCGGAAAATTCGAAATTTGATATTTTTCAATTTAAACTCTCATTTGCTTTGTGAAATTAGTGCTAAATCACAGTACCATCTTGGTAGTCTCAAATTCCGAATAATTATGATGTTTGATGCGATTGTGGCTGAGGTGGGCCTGCTAAAATCCGATGGTTCTGTTAAAAATTCTATTAAAAAATTACGGAGAGCTAAGAGAAAGAAAAAAAGTTGTGCTGTATCTTATAAGGTTTGCTCTATCAAATCGTTACTTGAACTCCTTTGCAGGATTGATATAAAAGATTAGAAAAATTGTGAAACTTGAACATCTCAAAAAACATTGGTCGCAGACTTTGCTTATTTTCTGAAAGCACATTGATTGTGCTGCAACAGTTTCATAACCTTCAAATAGAATTTGAAATGCTGTTTCGAATGCTATTAAGACCTCATAAATCTCCATTATATCAAATTTGCCACTTTGGAAAAACGAAATAACTTTTGGAATGACCATGGAACCAGTCCGCTTTATACAGTATGATGCAAAGCAGAGCAGATGCGAAGCAATGAGCTCAAAAATATGAAGCCATGGTTGAGGTGAGAGCAAGTGCTGAACTGGAACGAAGCTGCAAAGGAAATGAATAATATCATAGCGGAGTTACATATATACCGAACCTCAAACGAATAATGCTCTTCTAAAAACTTCAATACAGGTTATTACAAACTTGAGCAACTAACCACTGGACAAGTATACTACATAAATCATTTCTTAACACTCGTCGGTGATTCTGAAGTTGTATCATGCAGGGACATAAAAGTGTTATCAATCACTCTATGTTGGCCTGCAGCGGTGCCACAAAGAGTTACTCAAAGTTTTGTTTTAAAATTATATCACAGAATGCTGCAATCTTCCTTTACAAAATCGTTTTATGGACCCAAACTGATTACCATGCATGTTACCAAAAACTAACTTGTTTGAAGTAATACTTTTGAGGAGCGTAAAAACAAAATTTTTGATATTCCTAAATATTTGATATATTGATAACTGAAAATTCTTTGAACATTTAAAGGCAGTTACATGTCCACGATGCAGAGGATTGCGCTATTGTATAGTAGCAATGATCGCTAGAAATTTTCGAAAGTGATGAAGAACACCTTGCAAATGTCAAGCTAGCGGCGTTTTGTCATTGAACCGCATTTGTAAGCTATATAAAGCTGGCTGTCGCATATAAGATCATACAGCTTCAACAAAGCTTCCGAACGATTTCATGCTATTTATGAAGTTAGTTCAAGACCTAATTCAGAATCAGTTTTTTTGCCTCTTTTAAACATTTCCAACCCCAATTTGTTTTTGAAAGTGCGGTATAAACATGCTTTTGATTAGAGGTTGATAATTTTTATGTTAAACTAGATCCATTTCTGGTCCGTTGCAGCTGATTTTTTGCATAACAGGAGCAAATTCCGTGGGCGCCTTTTTACAAACCTCACTATTGAGAAGATAAGATCCTATATTCAGTGCTATAGTGTAGGAGTGCTGTAGCTATACAAAGGGTGATTAAGTGAGCAAGAATATATCATTTAATCGATACTATTGATTTTTCTTAATATTGATGTGAAATTTAGGACGCTCATCGTTGTTGTTTTTTTATGTTGAACTCCACCGTACATCTGATGGCTAATATTGACAACTGGTGACACATTTGAGGGAGATTACAAAAATAGAATCATGGGGTTTCTGATCAATATAGTGATTGTTTCGCAGATGAGCACTTTGTCCAGCTGCAAAAGTCGAAATCTGTTCCATTATTTTTTACAAAGAGCAGAAATTTTGAATCATGTTTTCTATTCCTCGCAATTACCCCATGGACACTGTTGATGATTTCTGTATCATCAACCATTCATGAACTCTATATTCTATATAGCCTACGGAATCCCCGTAGGCTAAATGGTGAGCTACTCACTCTTGAGTATCTGATCACTCAACCCGTGCCCAGGAGTGTAGCTAATCGGCGGCATCTCCTTTCAAGCACCAACTCCTGCACATTGTATCCTGTACTCGGTTCAGCTCCGCCTTCCTTCGTATATAAGGAGCCTCCGAATGTATTAGAGGTTGCTCCCCGGTCCACACCGGGACACCTCACACCTCTTCTCGAATAATCTACGCCCGTGCGAATAAACCTTATTCCACAACTCGTCTATCTCCCTAATCACTTGGTACCCACCAAATTGGTGCATCGGCCAGTGATTTTCCTTGCACTTCTCGGCGAATCCTCCTAAGGACACGAGAAATCAAGGCCTAAGACCCGCATGGCAGGCTCTACTATAGCCAATATTCGACTCTCGTGATTGCTGGTCCACCACTCTCACGATCAAGAGTCTTACTAAGTTGTCAGGTCCTATCCACAACTTAGTGGAGGTTTCTAGCTAACTGACTGGTTCACCACAGTTAGCGACAGACTCCTCGCACTCTCGGCTACTAATTAGCCAATATTCGACTCTAGTGATTGTTGGTTCACCACTTTCACTAATACGAGTCTTTCTAAGCTATCAGGTCATATCCATAGCTTAGCAGAGGTTTTTCTAACTAACTGACTGGTTCACCACAGTTAGTACAAGAACTCCTCGAACTTTTGGCTTTCCTAAAGTCAAAAAAGGACTCTGTGATTGTTGGTTCACCACTTTCACAAACAAGAGTCATCTTGCAAAGCTATCAGGTCATATCCATAGCTTAGCAAAAGGGTTTTCTAGCTGACTGACTGGTTCACCACAGTTAGCAAAGAAACCTCAGCTTTCCAAGCTCATTCACGGTCGGTTCACCAATCTTGAGCTTTGGATCGTTACATTTACGGGACAGGTTCCAACACTTTAACGTCCAGTACAGCGTACAAACCAACCAGGCGCGCTTGCTGACAGCTAGTAGACGCTCGGCACCCACTTGCCAGCTCACTAGAAAGCTTCCTTGCAACCAGTAAGGACAGCTATCGTATCGAATCCAGCCCTGCTGTCGCCCTCAAGCCAAAGCGATCAACACAAGGAGGATACACACTTCCAAATTGTAACGCTTGAAATTACCACACCAGCGCACGACTCTACCCAGTGCAGCAGAAGAAAATGGCATCGCTCCAGCTTTTCAAGATCAGGATTAACAACGCCTGCAAACTCGTGAAATCCCACGAGTCGCAAATCGAAAATATTGATGTCCCCTTCACATTCCCCACACTGAAAGAAGAATGTGAACAGTACATAAAAGGGAAAACGGGACTGATAACCAATCTTCTCAACTCCCTACACAACGCGGTCAAGCTTCAAGAGACGCAGATCAACTCCGCGATCGAGTACATCAGTGCACGGAATGAGGAAAAAGAAAGAGACAAACTGATGATGGAGCTCTGCAAGCACCTAGATATGGGGTCACTTGACCTGGAAGTGATTGTAGTGCAGTGGCGGACAAGGATAGAGTTCAGGCAGCATGAACTGAAAGAACAAGACGCACTACTGCACTGCAATGCTCCGAGCATACCGAATCAACCAAGCAGTGATAATGGACAAGTTTGGATCCCCGACCGCAACGAAAGGCAGATCAAAATACGAAAACCTCTGCTCGAAATTCCTACGTTCTCCTGAAACTTCAGAGAGTTCAACAGCTTCTGGACAGTATTCGAATCTCTCATCCACAATGACGAGGAAATATCCGACACGGACAAATTCTTGTTCCTGAAACAAGCCCTGAAAGGAAAAGCAGCAGCAACCTTAAGCTGCAATACCCGTC